AAAAAAAAAAAAAAAAAAAAAACTTGATTGAGGGTTGTGAGCCAAAAGTAAATGTTGCATTATATCCAACTATATTATTCTACAATGTATTACATTTTGTAAATAATTTAAAAAAGTAAATATAATTTTTTTTATTTTGTAATCAAGTACATACATACATAAACAGATAGATAGATCTGTACCTTCTTTAACCCTGAAGGTTGCATATTAGTAGCTTAGAGTAGTAATATGTGACCCTGGACCACAAAAGCAGTCTTAAGTCGCTAGGGTATGTTTGTAGCAATAGCCAAAAATACACTGTATGGGTCAAAATTATAGATTTTTCTTTTATACTAAAAAATTGTATCTCGACCAAATATTGTCCTATCATAACAAACCATACATCAATGGAAAGCTTATTTGTTCAGCTTTCAGATGACGTATAAATCTCAATTTTGAAAAATTGACACTTAAGACTGGTTTTGTGGTCCAGGGTCACATATGCACTCTTATGGTACTATTATGACTATTATCATTTGGGAGTAAAGAAGGTACAAAGGTATCCCCTTTGAGGGTACTGCCCCAGTGACAAGCTGTTGTATCCCTAAATATAAAATGTTTGCAAATTTTTTTGACAGTTGTACACATACTGCCCAGAGAAAATTAAACTGTTTTGAACCCAGGAGATAAAAAAAAAAATACATAAATGTAACATGAAAATGCATTAAAATTCTTGTTCCGTCAGAAGCACCTTGTGCAAACCAAAATCTCAATCCTCTCCATCATGCTCTGTTGCTCGGAGACAGTGTGTTTCGCTGCAAGTCGTTTGCTGTGGCGTTCGCTGATCACAGCAGGGCTGCAATCACAGTTATTCAAAGCACCTCTGAAAAGCCCTGGCATCTGACTCAGTTGAGTACTACAGAGAATACTAAATGATTCACAAGAACTTTCTGCGCACGTCCACCTACCTGCCCAGCCAGCATCTCATAGAGGAGCACACCGTATGCCCACCAGTCCACCGATTTACCGTACGGCTGATAGGCAATTATCTGGGGGAAGAGGAAATGAACACGTGCATCACTTTCTGTCCAGTCATTCTTTCAACTCTCATGGGCTCTTGGGAAACTCTATTCAGTCTCCAATCATCTGTCAAGAGCACAATGCACATTTCATTACTGCTCAAGGGGGTGGTAGTCGCTCTGCTATTTTTTAACCATTTGCTGTAATAATTGCTTTTTCCCCCCCCCACCAGTCCACTTACACCCACATATTCAGCACACACACCAATGAGTGTGCATAATCACAGGGGAAGTTAATGAGAGCTTTGTAAAGCATAGAGAGTGGATGTTTCATGTCAAACTCTGATTTTCTTCCTCTTCATGTGTGCTTTAGAAATGACTGCATAGTTGTGCCACTTTCCACAAATAGGGTACAAATTGGTGCCCCTTTACTTTCTCAAAAGCAATGAAGTCACACATGCCACGTTCTTTCAAGAGAGAACTATTAGCTGTGTTATATACTTTAAAATGAGCATTGCATGAAAGGTAGCACATTTTAAACTACCAAATGTCTATACAACACCTCTTTGCATATTTTATGTTAATCTAATTTTGACTTGACTTGATTGACTATATCTAACAACTGAAATCATAAAACAATGACTTTGACAAAATAAATACATATATAAAGTGATTTTCTTTAGTCTAATACTTGACTTATTTTAATACACTGCATAAAGCGTAAGGTCACAGTAAGCATGTTTTAAGTGTCTGCTGGCCGTCTACTCACAGACACAGAGCAGACTGTCTGCCAGCATTCACATCAACAGCCTGACCTCAAAAGTCCTCACACACACACACACACACACACACACACACGATGTCAAGCTGCCACACGCTTCAGTGGAAACGTCACAGCACTAATCTACAGGTCAATAACACTGTGGGCAAAAGAGAGTAAATTAAAATGTGGCTATTAGTGAATGGTGTGGCCTTGTATGTTAAAAAAAATAAATAAAAAAAATAAACTGTCCAAAAACATTTTCTGATTTAGCAACGAAAGATCCAAGATTTACTTTAACAATCATTCAAAGCATTACTGTTTAAATACATAAAAAAACGAATTAAATGAATCATTCATTCATTTTTATTACTAATTAGTTACTAATTAAAATTAAGCATAAATTAAAATCAGACTGGGTCTGGGACTACTCGATTTGGCACAACTCAACTGAAAGCCAAATAGGAAATGTAAATAATTATATAATTAAAGGCAATTATATAAAAATTCACTAGTAAAATTAGTTTTATTAAATATTTTATTTTTAATAAATAGTTTACAGCTACACTATTCCTGTCACGGGATTGTCACAACAATATACAACGCACACAACGACAGAGTAGGATGGAGAATTCCTTTTTAACAAATCCACAGGGAAAGGGAACAACAATAATCCAACAGCAAATAATCCATGTTTATATAAACATTTAATTATTTTAAATATTTATTCAACCTTGCATTACTACTATTTAAAAAACCTATATTAAAAATGCATAATTTTTTCGAGCTTATTTAGGTAAAAAGTTAGGCAGACAAAAAAGGGCACATACTTTATTTCACCACCCAATAATTGTTAAAGTCATAGGTGTGTTTAGAAAAATTTGCTGTATTATAATTTATGTCTGCGGTGATTCCACTAATGTCAACCTACTGTAGGCTTAATGGAAAAATGTGCCTCTACGTCCATTTTTGCAAATGTCCAAAAACGTACCTATACATACAATTCACTGCAGTTTCCAGCTGAAATTACCATAGTTGCAGTAAAACCCCAACATCCTTTATTCCTTTTCAAATAAATTACAATTATAGTGCCATATTATTATTTAATAAAGACTTGTTTCCATGTGGTTCCTACTATGTTATGACCTCAAAACACTTTTACCATAGTGCATTACTTGTAAACTAATATATTTTGATGTCTGCATCACATAACCAGCTCCATATGTGTGATGTAGCAAACTTGCTCAGTAGCTCACCCGGTACAGCACTGCACTTGCGCTCGGGTATGAGTCCCGTGAAACATGAGTCATGATAAAAGAGCTTAAAGGGGTCATATGATGCGATTTCATTTTTTCCTTTCTCTTTAGAGTGTTACAAGCTCTTGGTGCATAAAGAAGATCTGTAAAGTTTCAAAGACTAAAGTCTCAAATCCAAAGAGATATTCTTTATAAAAGTTAAGAGTTAGCCACACCTACCTAAAACGGCTCGTTCGAACACGCCCCCACATATCTACCACACTATGTGGGAAGATTTGCATAACACCGCCCAAATGTTCACACAAAGAAAGAAGGAGTAACTTTTATTCTCGCTGTAGTATTGTTGACGCTGCAGCCATGTCCTGAAG